GATTTCAGGCTTTTGGGCGAAATATATTTCGCCCTATTTCGGAAATTTCGCCTGGGCGAAATATATAATTTCGCCCGCAACACTAATGTGTACGATACAAAATTTTATGCCAAAACTGTTCTTGCCAACTAATAGATCTTCACTAAAAAAGTTTTTGAACATAAGTTGAACTTTCTTAATAAACAATAAACAGTTTTGAATTTAAATGATCTGTAAATATAAAAAAAAAATTTTTATTTCAAGTTTGTTTTTTATTATATAATTAGTTTTGGTAACTTATTGTATAGCAAACTTGTTTATTGAATATATCTATTCAAAAATCAAAAAAAAAAAAATTTAAAAATTGACCTTTTTAATGCGTAACACTCCATATTACATGAGTAGACACCAATAAAAAAAGTTAAATATGATCGAATGCATTTTTTTTTTAATATCACTTATTTGTCGAGAAGATATAATATTTTTAAAAAAAAAACTTAACAGAAATTTTCGAAGACTAATAAATTTGCACTATTTTTATTCATTATCAGATAAATAAGATTGTAAAATATTACAATTTTTGCCTACACATAAAGGTGCTTTAAAAATATGTTCATTACATGAAACAGAAATTTGTCCTTCCGAAATTAAAAGATTTAAATTCATTGCTTTCATTAAATCTTTGCCAATTATTCCATTTAAATAATTTATATCGTTATTTACATAAACTATAATTTTTGATTTAACTTTTCTAATTTTGATAATGACCTCTGCTTTGCAAACAACAGGAATTTCATACCCACTATGCCCATAAATTATTTCATCTGATTCAATTTTTTTAAGTTTTAAAAAATCAAATAATGCAGAGGTAATCCAAGTAACATCTGAGCCAGTATCCAACTCCATTACTACTTCTCTATAAGGTTTTCCTTCTTTACGAATTTTAACCATTATTGCTAAATCTTTAGATTCCCTTTCTCCAATTTCAAGATTTATAGAATGTATGATTAATAAAGATTCATTTGGTGGCAAAGGTTGAGATGCGGGTGTTGGATTGTCAAAAGTTTGAAATGATGGGACACCTTTAATTTCTATAGCATCTTTATCAGATAAAACAATATTATCTCTATCTGAAAAAAGATGCCATGGAAACCTATAACATAACGCATAATTACCGTTACAAGGTTTATGAATTTGTGTACATCTAATACACGGATTTGGATAAGATATTTGTGTATTAAATTGTAATGAAGGGCAATTTTGAGTGGTTTCCCACTTTTCACAATAAAGAAAAATTCCTTTGCAAGCTACTTTGTTTAAAGCACATGCGTTACATGCAGTTTTAGGACGTCCAGGTTGTTTTTTACTCATTATTTAAAAATATTAGATAATTTTAAGATAATTATTTTAAAAAGTAAATTTATACAAATCGCCAATTCTGGTGCTTTTATATAATCAATTTTGATTGCTAATTTGTATAATTAATTCTGATTAGTTAATTAAATATATATATATATATATATATATATTTATATTAAACGCCAATCTTTTAAACTCATATAAACTTTAACTCTTTATAACTTAAAACAAAAAAATAAGAAAAAGTCCTCTGACGGAAATATAGTTAATCTAAAAATCTATCAATTTGTCAGAGGGTTTTTTAAAATTTAGTTTGTTTTAAAAAGTTATAACAATTTAAAGTTTTTATTAATAAAGATTAGATGCGTTTGACTATCCTGCACTGTATTAAATTACTCAAGAAAAATTTATAAATATATTAGACTATTAAAGAATAATTCGTATACAAATACTATCAAATAAAAGAATAATGATCTAATTTTTTAGAGTTTATTATAATATATTAGACTATAAAACTTTTATAAATTAAAATTAAAATATCTACAATAATCTGATAGAAAGATTACTAGAATTAAGCTCATTTTATGTCTATTATAAAGAATTATGCGAGTTTTTGATAATAAAATAATGCTGGCTTATTTTTAGTATTTGCAATTCTGATAGTCTCCTTAGTGATATTTAATAATCTATTTTTATAATTTTACCGTTCTTTAGGAAATAGATATAAGTAATTTATTAGCATATTTTTAAGCTAATAAAAGTTTTTGTTTAAATTATAGTAACAGGTTTCTAATATCTATTTTCCCGGAGTATCGGGAAAATTATAAAAAATATATATCGATATATATTTTTTTTAAAAAAATTTGTAATTTTTAATATTTTTATAATTTTCCCGATACTCCGGGAAAATAGATATTAGAAATATATTATTATTATTTAAACAAAAATTTTATTAGCTTAAAAATACGCTAATAAATTACTTATATCTATTTATAAAACTAGTATGTGACCTGTTGCTTTGCTGACGGTTTATATTATGAAGTTAAGTAATATATTGATTTAGCAACAAAATCTGGTCAGAGATAGTTTATTAAACACTTATTTAGTTATTGATTTTATTATCAAATATAACTAACCAAAATCTCAAAATTTAGTTATTCAATATACAGATTCATCTTTTTAATATATATATAGATAAAAAAAAACTATAAAAAATACTTTATAACTACATATCCCAATTCCAACTATATATGGAATCTTTGCTAGAAAATGACCCTCCGAGACTATAAGATTTTATAAATAAAATTCAAAATTGCTAGCCATCCAGTAACCCAATTTAAATAAACTTTTTGTTTATTTTGTAAAAATAAGTAAGCTTTATAAAATAAAATAAAAAGTTTATTTAAATTGGATTATTGGATGGCTAGCAAATTTGAATTTTATCTATAAAATCCACATAGTCTCGAAGGGTCATTTTTCTAGCAAAGATCCCATATATACTATACATTTCGAATCTAACTACTGTACTATATATAGAAACCTAATTACTATATATATACCATATATTTCGAATCTAATTACTAACTACTATATCTAACTATATACAGTATGCCATATATTTCGAATCTAACTACTAACTACTGCACTACATCTAGACCTAATTACTATATATAACTGTATATATACCATACATTTCGAATCTAACTACTAACTACTGCACTACGTCAAGAACCTAATTACTATATCCGACTATATACTATATAACAACTGCGCTATGTCTAGAACCTAATTACTATATATATTTCAAATCTAATTACTAACTATTGAACTACGTCTAGAACCTAATTGCTATATACATTTTGAATCTAACTACTGCACTACGTCTAGAACTTAATTACTATATACATTTTGAATCTAACTATTGTGATATATCTAGAATTTAATTATTATGCTACTTCCAGAATCTAACTACCATGCTAAATCTAGAAGCAAACAACCGCGCTATGTCTAGCTTTGATAAATTGTGCTATGTTCAGCTTTAACAATCATACTACGTCCAATTCTAACAACCATGCTATGTCTAAAATTTAATTTCTACACCTCAGAATCTAAATACTGTGCTATGTTTAGTTCTAACTATCGCATTATGTTTGGTTCTAACTATGTAATATATCTAATCTAACTACCATGCTACGTCTAGAATCTAACAACCTTGCTATGCCCAGAATCTAACTACCACGCTATATTCAGAATTCATCAACTATACTACATCCAGCTCTAACAACAATACTACATTTAGTTCTAACAATAATGCTATGTTCAGTTCTAATTATAGTTGGCGGTAGAATTACTGAATTACGGCATTTTCCATGTGGTAGAATTAATTACGGCATAGTACGTATCTAATTGCCGTAAATATTATATACCATAATGCTGTATTACGGCTCAAAAAAATCACGGCAAATTACCAAATTAATTCTACACCAACTATAGTTCTAACAACCATGTCTAGCTCTAACAATTGTGCTATATCCAGTTCTAACAATGGTACCATATCCATAGCCTAACTACTGTGCTCTAACGTTCAGTTCCAACAACTGTGCTATGTCTAGCTCTAACAACCCTGCTACGTTCAGCTCTAACAACTATGCCATATTTAACTCTAATATCCAGCTCTAACAGCATCTATTTACATACGCACAAAGACATCCAGCCAAGCAAACCTACCCGTAAAGAATCCAACCATTCACTCACCGCCCGTAGAGCCACCTAGAGACGTCTAATTATCCATCTGCCTGTAAAGACATCCAATCATCTACCTACATGTTCATAAAGACACCAGCCGCCCAACCATCTATCCACCTATTTGTAAAGACACCCAACCATCCACCCACCTAACGGAATCTAACGGAATGCAAAAAAATAAGCACAAAAAAAAAAGAAAAAGAAAAAAAAGAAAAACAAACAAAAAAAAAGTAACAAAGAAACTAAAGAATAAAGGAAAGAATTGAAGGGAAAAAAGAAAGTGGAATACTAAATACTGTAATGATAATTTAAAATAACAATAAAAACTAAATAATTTAAAGATAATTAAAAAAAAAATGAACATATTTAAAAAATAATAATTTAGAAAAAAAAGTTAGAAAAAAAAATAATTTAATAAAAAAAATTAACGATAATTAAATAAAATATAAAAAAAAATTTTTTAAAAAATTAAAAAAATAAAGTAACGATAATTAAAAAATAAAAAAAATAAAATAAAATAAAAAATAAAAAAAACTAAAAAAAAATGTAATATAAAAAAAAACCGATAATTTATTAACAAAAAAATTTTTTTTAATAAAAAAACAATCGATAATAATTTAACGTTAATAAAAACAAAAAAAAACTGATAATTTAATAAAAAAAATTTAATATTTAATAAAAAAAGAAAAAAAATTTTTAATATTTAATAATAAAAAAATAAATAATAATAATAATAATTTAATATTTAATAATAATAATTTAATATTTAATAATAAAAAAATAAATAATAATAATAATAATAATAATAATAAATAATAATAATAATAAATAATAATAATAATAATTAATAATAATAATAATTAATAATAATAATAATAATAATAATAATAATAATAATAATAATAATAATAATAATAATAATAATAAT